GAGTACCTACTCAGTTGGGTGTTGGGGGCTAGGGATAAGTGGTTTGTTGGGTGCTGGAGGCTAGGCATACAGTGAGAGAACAAGAGCATCCCTGCCCTGGAGAGGCCTGTTCTGGGGGATGGACAAGTGGACCTGGAATTACAGTGGGATAAATGCTGTTTTAAGTTGAGAGGCATGGGACGGAGGTGTTACCACTGTAGGAGGGAGTCCCAGAGAAAAGGACTGGGAGAGGCTGAGGTCTGGCACACATCACTCACCTGGTTTGCCATTTCTAAAGACAAGAGTCTTCTCACGACATCGTCAAACCTGTGGGGAAAAGCACAGCAATGAGAGACAGGTGTGGGGGAGAGGGGAAAAGGGAATCAATGGTTTCCTTTTTCGTTTGAAAAGCAAGAATGATTGAAAATTTCTTTTATAAAAAAGTGGAGAGCCCTGTGGAAGTGGAGAGCCCTTTCTCAGGGATTCAAAGTCAGCAGGAATCTGATCTGCTATGCTGAGAACATGGAATGATGTGATAACTGCACAAAATTGGGGCTCTTAGCTGGAGTGTTCCAAGGTCCTCACAGGGAGGGCAAAGGGAGGATTTTCATTTCAGCTAGAATATGGGTCTTTTTTTGTTTTTTTTTAAGATTTTATTTATTTATTTGACAGACAGAGATCACAAGTAGGCAGAGAGGCAGGCACAGAGAGAGGAGGAAGCAGGCTTCCCGCTGAGCAGAGAGCCCGATGCGGAACTCGATCCCAGGACCCTGGGATCATGACCTGAGCCGAAGGCAGAAGCTTTAACCCACTGAGCCACCCAGGCGCCCCGGTCAGTCTGTCTTGAGACATTTCGATTCTATAATCATTGTTTTTTTCCTCCTGTTACACGGTATAGCAGAAGGGACTGGCCAGCTCTGGCTGTATAGGGCAGGGGCTGAGCAGAAGGATCCCGGCTTTGGTGTCTTTCAGCCCTGCTCCCCAGGAGCTCTATGATATTGGGCAGACATTACTAATCCATAAAATGGGGACACTAATTCTTTCCTCACAGGGCTTTTGTGAGGATCAAGAGATGAGAGATCTCACAAAGAACCATGAGGCATGTTGCCTCCTTCTATCTGAACCACAGTAGGAAAAAAGGCAAGCAGTTAAGCTCCATGAACTCCATTCTGACCCTGCTGCCCCTCAGCAAGCCTGGGCTTCAGAAGTTCTCTGCCAGATTCTACCAACAAGCTTCAGATACAGCGGGCCAGGCCTCAAAGCCACGGTCTTCCCTCTTTCCTCCCCAATCCTCTTACAGCCCCTGCCTCATAAAAGAGCTTTCTTTCTGCTTACTTCTCAATTCCAGGAATGTTCTGGTAGTCTTTGAGCAGCGTGGAAGGGGGTGGGTCATCTTCTTGGAGGGGCTGGACTGTCAAGTGTGGGGAGAGAAAAAACCCAGAGTCAACTCTCACTGCCCATCCTCCCTGTTCTGTTTTTTCTCACCAACTCTATCACAGACACCCAGGGCCTCAAGCAAGGCACTAGAGATCTCTGGGCTCAGCTTCTTCTTTGCAAACCCTACAGGCAACTGTCTTGATATTGCATACTGGGAGTGGATCACCTTTCCTAAGGTCCCATATTGTGTCTTTCCCTCTCACGCCACTTTAGATTCGCCACTAGGATGGGTCGTTTTGTGGACGGCCTGAGTTTGACTCTCTTCACATCCCCTGGTCTGGTCCATGGGCTCATGGAAAACAGATACTCAACCAGCACTTGCTGGCTGACAGCATGAATGAAATAAGGGCATTGAGGAGGGAACCCAAGCTTTAGGGCATAGTAAGCACCAAACAAAGACCACATATAGGAAACCCTCAGCCTTCGTGTGTTTCATATTCTCTGGGAAGTGAGGGAGAGGCACGAGGGAGATCAACGGGTCCTCTCCAGCCCAACCCCACTCTGCCACTATGCAAATCACAGCAATAAATGCTAATATATACATGTTTTGCACCCAGTGTGAAGAACACTCTCTTCGTGTTAGCACTGAATCCTAACAACGATTCTTTCAAATAGATACTTTTACAATCGTTTCAGAATGAGACTCAGAGAAAGAGGAATTAACTTCCCCAATATCATTTACCGAGGAAAAGAGATCTTCCCACTGTGCAGACGGCCTTGGAATGAGAAACCAAGGCCTCCACCTCAGAAGGGCAGACACAAAGCGTCTACCTATACTCTAGGTAGGCCTGGGTGGTGCCAGCACGCTTTCCCTCGGGCTAGCTCATTCTCACTCAAAGCCGGTCCGCAAGCTCCAGCTCCCGCCCTCCCCCGGCCTCTCTCCCCACCCCAGAAAGGCTTCAGGCTACAGCCTGGTGGCAAGGCGGACGTGGGGGGTCTTCTGCTCAGGACCTCTGGCCAACGCGTCTGCCCACTCCATCAAGTGGTTCTAACTAGGCACCTCGGTCCCTTTGGCCACCCGGCGCCCCTCCAGGAAGTGCCTTTCTGCCGAAGTCCCACCCTAGAGCTCCTACCTGGTTTCCGGGCGGCATATCCGCGAACGGCCTGGAGGATGACACCTACGTAGAAGAGAGAGGGCTGAGGCCCAGCTCCTTAACTCGTCCAGCCCCCCATTCCTTTCTGTGTCCTCCGCATTTACCCCTCCTGCATGGTCTTTGCGTCCCGGCGCCTTACCGCCGCCCCATTTCTTCCGCACCCCGCTGCCCCACGCCTCTCCCACCTCGTCTCACTTCTTCCCCGCCCACCGGCCTTTCTCCCTCATCCTGCCGCTGCTCTTCTCCCCTATCCTCGTCCCCCGTATCCTCTATCTCCATCTAACCTCACTTCCCTCATTGCATTGCCCCTCTTCTCAGCGCCTCACCTCGAGTAGAGGGAAGGGCCCACCCGCGGGAGGGCGGCCTGGCACACGCTCCGTCTGGCAGCCCAAGGACTGGGGCCTGGGCCACAGCCTGGGTCCGAAGCGACCTCAGCGCCCTCCACGCCGTCCTCAGCATCGTGACTTGTGACCCGCGGGGCCGGCGCCACGGCCACTGTCCCTTTCGCGGCACGGACGGGGTTACATGGGCGCCGCCATGCTGCCTCAGGCTCGACCAATGGAGCGCAGTTGCGAGACCGGAGCAGATGAGGACCGAGAGAATGGATTAGAAAGGCAAGACTTGGGGTGCGGCGGGGTTGGGTCTAGGGGAGGGGTCTGGTTGGCATCGCCGCAGGGCTGGAGGCTGGGTGGTTGCGGGCCTGGTTAGTGGTGTGCGGTGATGTATAAATTCTAAGATGCCGTTTTTTCCTTGGGCATGCGTCCTGCCCTTAATCCCACTCTATGTTCCTTTTGGAGGTTTTCTTACGGCCTGCCTGTCTTCTTCCCCAACCTAGTCTTTCTGCCTCCTCTCCCACCACATTCCAGGATGAGGCTCCGCAAGAGGTACTGGGTTTCATTCAGCCTCCTGTGGGGCAGCCTTGTAAGCCTCGTGATGAAGGTCGCTGATTTTGAAACGGAACAGCCCTGGGCTGATTGAAGTGCAGCTGTTTACTCACTGTGGTCTTGTGGGCAAACCACCCCACCTTTCTGGGCCCTGGTGTACTCATTCACCAAAGTGGAATGGTATCTACTCTTTAGGTTGTTGGAATATTAACTGAGGCATTTGTGTGCAAGGGATCTGCTTGCAATATAGGAGGCATTCAATAAGTATTTGATGTGATAATATTTGTGAAATGAGGGGTGTAAAGACAACTACAAATTAAAAGCAGGAAGAATAAATTTTTAATGAAATAAAAATAACATTTTCATTCTCCCTTGGTGCAAAAAAGGAAAAAGCTCTCCTCCCCCTCACTTTTCGTAAGCACTGACTTTTGAAGAGTTGTAATTGTGAATTCTTTCTCTATCCTTTTGAGACCTATGTACACCTTTCCAAAAACTGAATAAGCCTCTTGCCAGTTTTACAGCACAGAAATGTTCTTCTCAGGGATCTAGGCATCATCTCTTGAAATGCAGTCGTTAAGGAAGACAGTGCCTCTGTCTCCCAGTTTCTGCCGGGCTCTAAGTTGCCAACCTGCCTCTTCTCATAAAGATACGAGAAATTTCGTTTTCTCTGGGATAAAGGCAATTAGCAAACATGGGTGGCTACCCCATTTACCAGGTGAATTTAGGATGAACTCTGTGTGACAGATGGTGCCATGCACCTGTATCCACTTGGCTATATACAAGGGTAAGATTTCTTTCTGTCTTTTCAAGCTCTTTAGAGGATCTGATGGTGATGCAGATCACGTTCTGGTTTAACGTTCATTCAGTAATAAAACTGATTTTGTCCTCTTCTACCCTCATGGAGTGGCTTTGTAGGTTGGCAGGAGATTTTGTGGTTTTTATTATTTTATTTTTTAAGCAATCTCTACACCCAACATGGGACATGAACTCACAACCCTGAGATTGAGAGTAGCATGCTCCATCCACTGAGCCAGCCAGGCATCTCCGCAGATTTTGTTTTTAATTATATCTACTCCAACAGGGCTTAGTCTTTTCTGAGATCTATTCCCCATGTCGCACAGCCCTTTATGACTCCCTTCAACCCTGGCCACTATGCCCTAATGTCTTCAAGTCTCTACTATTAGAATGGGAGCCCTTTGTGGGTGGACTGAACCAAATCATTTTTTTGAGTCCCTGCTTCCAGCACAGGGCCTCCATGATAAGTAAGGGCTGGTAGAATGAATGAGTGAAGGAAGGAGTATACAAATGAATACTTCTGATAAGTACCCCCATCACTGCTAGGCCCTGAAAAGACAAGGAACAGAAGCGCAGGCACACTCGAGAGTTTCTCAGAGTCAAACCAAACCAAACCATGAACCAGTTTAAGAGACTGAAATTATAGGAAATAAGCACAAGAGGTTAGTGGGCAGGGTTGGACAAAACATTCTCTGGCCACTAAAGTGAGAGGCCCAGTGGGGTCTGGGGAGATTGAGGAAGGGTGCTGAGGACCAGAGATAGAGAGATCCTGGTAGCCTTTTTGCCCTTCTGGAGCTACGTGATTTTTTCATGATGGACTTACACTCTCCTCTCCTCTGGACGGCCCAGGCCTTTCAAGAGGCAGGCCCAGGTGGGGGCCCCAGGGAACGCTAGACGCCCCCCAGCCCCTCTACCCCATGGACCTGGAGCCCTTGCAGGAGGGGGAAGTCAAGCAGTGGCCCGAAGACACAGTCATCCTCCTGGTTGGGGACGAGGGGCTCTGGGCTTCCAAGGGGGGTGGTCTGGAACCAGAGGTTCTCATAAAACTTGGGGCTGGGACTAAGGCTCCCTAAGAGGGGCTGAGTAGAGTCACAGCGGAGGTAATGCCCTGGACCTGGGCCTGTGGGGCTGCCCAGCACCTTCCCGTAAAGGACCTGGTCACTGGTGATAGATGGGGGCCGGGGCTGGTTGGATGGTGCTCTTGGGTCCCGTTGGAGCACATAGGCCTGGACCAGGGTGGGGAGGCCACAGGTCCCTGAGCTGTCATTGGACTCCCAGGGCCCTGGCTTCTTCTCTTCTTCTTCCAGCACTGTGATCTTGGTGATGGGTGGCATGCCGGGGTCCCGAAGGCTGGGCAGCTGGAAGGTCTCCTGGACACAAGGACGTGGGGTGAGGGCATGAGTCGTCTCAGATGTTCATCCCAACTGCCACCCCTTCCTGTGTTGGGACATCTGTGGAACTATTCCTTCTGCTGGAGCCCAAAGGATGACACTTGTAGAACTGCTCATACTTTCCTGACACATGCTGTGTGCTTCAGACTTAGCTTGGTGAATGTCCCCAGCGATTCTGGGTGACATACATCCCATCTCACAGTGGCATGACCCAGGCTTTGAAATGGGTGGAGCTGGGATTTGAACTCAGATCTGCTTTCCTCCAGAGGGAGGGGACCTTGCTGGGAAGGGATGGGAAGGCCTGAGTCCTCACCCTCGGAGGAGTATCCTTTCACTTTGAGCCTGGACCAACACCAGCACCCCCCTACACCCCATTTCTCTCTCCTTCTGGGGTTCTCACCTCCACCATGATGGTCGGAACCCAGGAGCCCAGGCTGCTGTGGGCCGGGTCTGGGACACTTGGCCAGAGGGGATTCTTCCTGCTGCAGAAGAGGACAGGTGAAGGCTGGGTTAGGCATGCCCTCCCATCTTTCCCTTCTTTTTCCAACCCCTTCCCAGTAGCTGAAGGCCCCTTGGGCAGAGAAGAGTTGGTGCAGAGCGTGATCCAGACATGGGCCCTGAGGCCTGTGAAGGCCTTTGAAGAGGGGCTTGGACTGGCCCACTCCCGCGTGAAGTTCCCTGTGGGCAGGGGTAGCTTGGTGTCAGGTCTCTTGAAAGGACTCACCTGGGTTTGCAGCAGAACCGGGCGGCCCCACAGAGGCAGGTGAACAAGAGGAGGAAGCCAAACAGGCCCAGGAGGACATGCAGCTCAGACTCCTCTGGGGTGAGGGGAAAACCAGAGGTGGTTAGAGTGCATGTGTGTAAGACTGGGCCTCTTCCCTCTGACTGAGCTCTGAAGGCAGGATTGGGCCTCCTCCCTCAGGCTGAGTTTCATGGGCAGGGCTGGGTCTCTTCCCTCAGATGAGTAGATCCAGGCAGGTTCTCAAAATGAAAGCTCTATTGGATGAGGAACCTTCCCAATAGCCTTGTATAGCGGGCCCCCTTCTCCCCTTACCTAGGGCCAAGGTCATCAGGGTAAGGCTCGTACTGTTGGCAGCCCCGGCCTTGCTGGTAGCCATGAGGTGGACATGGTACAAGCTGGCAGGCTCCAAGCCGTGGAGGACCAAGCCATGGGAGGAGGCATTCAGGACAGTGGCTGGGAGTAGAAGAGAATGGTCAGCCCGGGCCCAGATGCGGAGACTGCCTCCAAGCCTGCTGAGTGCGCTTCCCCGCCCTCCAGGCCTCCTGGGGCTGTGGGGTGCTAAGGATAGACTCACAGAAGGACTGGTCTTGAGCATTGGTCCAGAAGATGGTGTAGTGGGTAAGGGGGCTCTTCCCCAGCTCGGGGGCCTGGGGCATCCACTCCAGCTGGGCCCAGGTCTTGCCAATGTGCTTTAGATGCAGCTCTGGGGCGTGGGAGGGGGCTGCCGGAAGAGAGAGGTACAGGGGGAGCAGAGCAGAGTGGAGAGCCCAGCGGGACATCTTGGGGCTCCCTAGACCCCAGAACTGAGACATACTGTGGTGGGGAGTAGGAAAGGAGAGTCCAAAGGGACTTGTGCCTTAAGCCTCATGTTGCCAGGACCTTTGACTGAATTCCATCGACTGCTAGTAAGTGGCTGAGTCCGGATTTGAACTTGCTTCTCTTTGACTCCAAAGCCTCGCCAACTGCTTTCTGCCAGGCTTGATTTTGTTGGGCTCCCTATCTGATTTCTACCGCTTGCTCTCTGACTTTATGCCAGGCCCTCTGTCTAACTTCTGCCACACATGATGCTTGATTTCTGTCAGGGCAATGGGTTGATTTTTGCCAGACTTGCTTCCCAAATTCTGCCGAACCCACTCCCTAATTTCTGTTGCCCCACCACCTGACTTCTGTCCCGTTGCAGGTGTCCAGTGTAAGACAGGGGTCATCTTGGGGTGGGAAAAGAGCCTCTTCTGGGCCAGAGGTGGGGGAGGAAGGAAATGTTCCCTTGTCCTGATTGCTGGGGCCCAGGCAGGCACTGAGAGGAGAGGATTCTGGGAGGGACCAGGTGGCCGACGTACCCATCTCTTGGGAGTAGGCATAGATGTGCTGGGAGGGTCCCACGGTGTCCTGGTAGAGGGGGGTCACAGTGATCTCGTAGAGCTGAAAGGGCCTGATGTTCTCTGTAGAGAGAAGATGGGGCAGGCCCCCAGGTGAGGGGAGCTAACCTCAGAGCTTCAGCAGGGGACAACCCAGGCCTCATGCTGCAGAGCTATCCTCTTCTACCTCTTCTTCAGATCATTTGATGGGGTGAGAGCAGAAAAGTGGGAAAGCTAGAAAGGTGGTGGTGTCAGGACTGTGAAAAGAGAGGGTCCAGTTAGACTGGGAGAATGTCCTAATTCTGGGGATAAGAGATGACAGGAAAGAGTCTAGAAAGACTGGGGAGTCCACTTCTCAGGTGGTTCAGGCCGCCCCTTGCTAACTGTCAGACTAGCACTGCCTCTCTGCTTCCCAGGCCCCCCTCCCCCGCCACGCCTCCCCCTGCACCTCACCCTGCAGCAGCATCCCAGAAATGCTTCCATTATGCTCCATCTTCCAGCTCTTATTGCTGCCGCTGGGGCTGGGGGGACCCAGGCCCCACTCAATCACATAACCCCGAGGCTGAGGGCTGGGCGGCTCCCAGCCCACCCAGAGGCTGTGGGGATCTGGAGCCTCGGTGTGGAGTCTGGCCAGGGGCGGGCCTGGAGACAGAGTAGGAGGTAAGTGAACAAAGTGCGAAAAATGCAGGTCCCAGAGTCAGGAGCTTGGGTTCTGGTCCTGGCTTTGTTACTTACAGACTGGGTGATCATGGGTCCCTCAAGCTCAGGACCTCACTTAGCTCATCTGCAAGGGCTCTGTGCAGATCCCATGAGCTGCTGCATAGGATGAGCCTAGCACAGTGCCCCGTGCAGAGGAGGGCCTGACTGTGATCAAGGCTAACACTGTGTAGTTCACAGTATATGTTGCTAGGGTCTTTGGTGCATGTTAATTTCCTGAGCCCCTGAGAGTCCTGTGAGGGAGCTGCTGCCCTGGCCCCATTTGATCAAGGAGACAGCTGAGACAGGTTCAGGAACTTGTCTAAGGTCACACGGCTAATAAGATGGAATAGTCCCTCTTATTATCGCCAGTCTCACCCGTTGAGGACCCATGTGCCGGGGACCCTGGGGGTAGTGGTGTTGGCTGACCCCCGAGAATGAGCAATTAACTCAGGGACCGTGTTCCAGTTGGAAAAGCTTAGGGCTTTCTTCCCATCTTCCTTGGTGGCATGGGCTCAGTGTGTGTGCACAGGGGAGTGTGAGTCTGTAAGCATCCTCGTGTGTGAGTGTGGGGTGAATGTGTGTGCGGGGCGTGTGTGCGTGTGTGTGTGTGTGCGTGCGTGTGTGTGTGTGTGTGTATGTAACCACCAGCAGCCCAGCTTGGTTCTGGCTCGTGATGATAAGAGTGGCGAACACACACTGAGCAGTAACTTGGTGTCAGGCACATGTCTGAACGCCTGTAGCCTCGTAACAACGCTTTAAGGTCAACACTGTATCGTCCCCCTTTGCTAGGTGAGTAAACAGAGGCCAGGGAGCTGGGGTCCCTTGCCCCGGTCACGCTGTTAGCAAGTGACAGAACTAGATGTGAACCCAGGCAGTCTGTCTTCTGAATTGACATGCTTAACCACCACGCTCTACCAGCTGCCAGCCCCCTTACCTGTGCTCTCTAGGAAGACCACTGGGCTGGGATTAGAGGTCCCGGCTGTGTTATAGGCCACAAGGACCACTCCCTGGGCTTCCGAGGGCAAGTGGAAGGTGCAGCTTAGCTCCGTGGTGTTGCAGAGTGGGGGGACTGCCTCAGTCTGGTTCGGAGCTCTGACCAGGTAGCCTTGGATCTGCCCACTGTATTTGTCCAAGGGCATTGGCTGCAGTGGGTACAGGAAGAAGACAAGGGGGCTGCACAGCTCATCTTGAGTGGGGGGGAGGCTTCTAGATGGGGTGGATGGGTCTTAGGAACTGAGCCCCACAGGCCGGGAGCCAACCTTCTTCCCTCCCTTCCTTCTTCCCCTATTCACCCTGTTCCAGGTCCTTGGAGGGAGAAAAGGAAGAAGCACATTGGCACTGAACTACTCCCTGAACCAACCCTTTGCCACAGGTGAGTCCTGCATTCCAGTCTCTCCAGAAGGGCACTACCCAGCTTCCTAGGCACACACAAATCACATACAAATGCATCCCAGGCTCCTGGACAGGTTGGAGTCCAGGGCCCCAGCCCAAAGGGATCTGTCTGGGTTGGAAGGAATCTCAGGGGTGGAGGGATGTCAGGATGGGTCACCTTCCAGAACAGCTGCACGGCCACCATCCTGGGGTCTAATGGCCTCTGCCGCCACCATGTGTCCAGTCTGACGATGGGGGCTGTGGAGGGAGCCAGAGGGTCAGGGAGGGTCCTGGGGGCTGGATTTGGCCCTGATACCTGCTCCTGGCTCCTCTCCACCCACTGCTTACCCTGTTGCGCAGTGGTCAGCGTCAGGCTAGGGCTCCAGTCGCTCCATTGGCCAGGCAGGGGCCAGCGGGTACAGCGCATCTGCAGGGCGTAGGCTGTGGATGGGAGGAGCCCGCAGAGCTCATACTGGAGAGTCTGGGAGAGCAGGGGGCCCACCTGGTGGGGTGGCCATGGCTCTGAGCCTGGATCCTGTGCCCTTCAGGGCCAGCTCAGCCGCCCTCCCCTCAGCCAGCCCCAGGCCCTCCAGGCTGCCCTCCACCTCACCAGGACCCAGCTGGTTTCTCCAAGCTGTGGCTGGTGGCGCAGCTCACATTTCTGTTCTATGTACAGGCTCGGCTTCCATGGCTCCCAGCGTAACAGCAGGCAGCCTGGCTGGGGTGGGGCCACCTCAGGGCTGGGGGCCAGGGCCCACAGTGTCGGGGGTTCCAACTTCACTGCAAGGAGAAGGGGTTGTCAGAAACGTTCCCTGCCCCATCCTGTAGGGGATCTGCTGTACTCCTGCTTTTCTCTTGGCCTGTTGTTCCATTTTTGGCTCTGGGTCTCCATCCCTGGGGTCTCTGTCAGTCTGTCTCTCTTTTCTCTCTCTCTCTGAGTCTCTTCATCTCCATGCCATCACAATTTCTGCAGGTCTGTCTCTGTATATGTGTCTGTCTCCCCCTAGGTCTCTGTTTCATCCGCTTGCCCCAGGGCCTTTGCACTTGTTCCCTCTGCCTGGAGCTCTTTCCCTCCAGACATCCAGTGGCCTGCTCTCTCATTTCCTTCAAGGATCTTCTCAGATGTCACCTTCTCAGTTAGGCCGCCCCTGGCCATCTAACTGGAAGGGCAGTTGTCCACCAGCCCCAGCTTTCCCTACCCCTTTCCCTGTCACCCTTCTTGTCACTTGACATTCCATTTTATTTAGTTTGTCCCCTAGAATGTCATGTTCCAAGGGCAGGAGTTTCGATATTTCATTCAGTGCCCTATCTCCAGCACCAAGAGCAATGCCTAGTAATCTGTGGGCAACTCAAGAAACTTGCTGAAAGAATTAAAGAACGTGTCTCCTTGCCTCTGTCCTTCTGTGTCTCCATAGCTCCATCCCCACCTGCATTCCATTTTGTCCCTGTCTCTTGCCTGCCTCTATCTCTAGGTCTCCCATTGTCTCCTGGTCTGTGATTTCCTCTCTGTTCCTCTCTGGGTTGGCCCATCGTGGGGGCCTCTCCCCTCTGCCAGACCCAGCGTCACCCACCGACATCCATGGGAATGAGGCACAGCTGTGGGGACTTGTTGGTCCCTAGGGCGTTCTCAGCCTCCACCCAGATGCCCATGTTCTGGTACAACAGGAGGTGTCTTCGTGGGATGGAGCAGTGGTTCTGCCCGTTGTTAGGCACGCAGTCAAGGATAGAGTCCTCTTGTGTCTGACAGTTTCCCCGGCTCCTGCCAAGAGGCCAGGCTTGGGTGTCTAGCAGAAAAAGGAAGTGAGGCTCCCTGCTCCCTCCTGTGTTTGCTTCTGGCTCCCCCATCCTGCAGTCCCTCCCATGCCCCAGAAGAACCCAGAAGAACTGAGCTAGCATAGAGACCCTTACTTACTTGAAGCTCTTGAGTGTGAAGTGGGTGGACAGGTGGGTGTCGGGTCCTGGCTCCCACCGACAGATGAGGCTGTTAGTTGTGAGGTTCATGAGGCAGGACAGGTCATGGGGAGCGGCGGGAGGGTCTGCACATAGGGCGGGGAGAGTCAGGGCTTTGGGTAGGACCATTCAGAAAGCTGCGATTGGAACCAGTCAGCTTTGTTTCCTTGCTCTGGGTTGTTCCCCCTGGAGTCACCTTGTCTTGTTGCTCGTCTCCCTATCAAGTGACCCGGGAGGGGCAGCCCTAGGGAAAGTGAAATGCAGGCCCAGACAGGGGCAGGTGCCACAGAGCCTCCCACCCCCTCGGCTCTGACCCCTTGGACAGGGATGGTGCAGACCTGGCTTTTCATCCTGGTTTTGCCATTTGTTAGCTGTTGTGATCTGGAAGTCACTTAACTGCCCCGTGCCTCAGTTTCTTCATCTGTGAAATGGGAGTGATGGTAATATGCACACTCCCTGAGGTTTCAGAGGCTGAATGACTATTTACACAGTGCTCAGGGCCATGCCTGGCATGTGGTAGGTGCTATGTAAGTGTTAGCTCTACTATTACTGACGGTATTTTTTTTTTTTTTAAGATTTTATGTATTTATTTGTCAGAGAGAGAGCAGGAGGCAGAGGAAAAGCAGACTCCCACTGAGCAGGGAGCCAGACATGGGACTCGATCCCAGGACTCTGAGATCCTGACCTAAGCCAAAGGCAGACGCTTAACTGACTGAGCCACCCAGGTGCCCCTACTATGAGTGACTCTTAAGAAAGAAACTGGTCAGAACGGCTGGGTGGCTTAGTTGTTAGGCGTCTGCCTTTGGCTCAGGTCATGATCTCAGGGTTCTGGGATTGAGCCCTGCATTGGGCTCCTTGCTCAGCGGGAAGCCTGCTTCTCCCTCTCCCATTCCCCCTGCTTGTGTTCCCTCTCTTGCTGTCTGTCAAATAAATAAATAAATAAAATCTTAAAAAAAAAAGAAAAAAAAAACTGGTCTTAGTGGTTTTCTTATGCATTGGCTTGGCAGAAAGTCCTCACTTCTTGGTTTGAGTAGGAGGCTGAGACTGCCATGGGAGAAACTAGGAGCAGGCTGAGCTGGTCAGGTGTCCTCTCTGGGCACACTGTCCAGTGGCTGAGTGTCTGGGCTTACTTGCCCGCCACTCGGAGTAGTGGTGCCCTCTGACCTTGGAGCCGTACTGCCTGGTAGAAACCTCAGCTCTATCCTTAGTTTGTGACCTTCACCAAATCACATATACTCCCTGAGCCTCAGTTTCCTCATCTACAAAATGGGGCTAAACAGCACTATCGCTGGGTTGGAAAGATTATCCAATGCCATGCCCATAATGTGTTTATTGAACAAGAGCTCAGTGAATGATAATGGCTCTCCTGAGCCATGGCAGGAAGGCACGGGGGCCGGGCGGGTGGGTGGCCGCGGGCACTTACAGCCTGCCTGCACCTCAGCCTGGTCCAGGATCTGTAGGCTGGTGCCCCAGCGCACGCAGCAGGAGAGAAGGACCCGGGGGCTGTTGAGGCGGGGCACGGTGATGGTGGATTCCTGCCTTCCATCTGCCAGACGTCGCTGCCTCTTTCCAGGTTGAAGCTCTGTTCCCAGTTTCCACAGAATCTGTGACTCAGGGTCCAGGTGGCTGCAGTTCGGGCTGATGACACAGGAGGCTGTGATGGGATCCCCCAGGTGGACAGTGGGGGTGGGGAGGCTGATGCGCCCACATTCCTCCAGGCCTGGGGGAGGGGAGAATGGGCCATGAGTCACTCCTCTGCCATGCGGAGCTGAGTTATAAACCTAGGCCTTTGTATTCCTAGACTCAAGGTCCTTACCTCTTTGCCTCACCCCCTGAGATACAGGGGCTGGAATGGGGTGAATGCCTGTGGGGATGGAGAGGGGCTTTCCGGGGTGAGAGAGAGCTAGGGATATGTCCATCAGGGTCTATCAGCTGGCTCTTTGAGAAAACCAGATCCTGATTGGTAGTCTGGGCTGCTTTCTCTGGTGTAAATATTCCCACCAAGACTGCTTTTCAAGCTACCAGTGTGACATCACTGAACGTGAACTTGGGAGGAAATGTGCACACTTAGGTCTCATAAGCCAGCACTAGCACACCGCCAAGCAGACACTAGGCCCCTCTGCGGCACCCTCCCCAGAGGTGGTGAAAGCGTTGGTGGGAATGATAAGAACCCCACGGCCACAGCTCTCAGAATTCAAATCTTGATTGTGTTACCCCATCTGGACCACAGCCCTCCAACACTCCAGTGGTGTGGTGGGTAAGAGCACAGCTGGGTTTAGAGCCTGGCTGTATTGCTTATTAATTACATGACCTTGGCAGGTTACTGAGGCTTTCCATGCCTTGATTTTTCTCATCTGTACAGTGGGGATGAAAAATAGTTTCCACCCATGTTGCTCACCTGATTAACATTGAGCATCTTGGGGGCACCAGACCAGACCCGGATCAACCAGATCAGGTCAAGCACCCTGAACTTTCCCAAAGCTCTTATTCTCCTTCATAATTATGGAGTCATGTGATTCATTGCTTGCCTGTCTCCCCAGTTAGACCAGAGGTTCTGTGAGGCCAGAGACCTTGGCTGTTGGTCTTATTACTGTATTCCCAGAGCTTAGCATAGAGTAGGCCCTTGGTGAATATTTATTGTATAAACAAACAAAGATCCACTGTACTTTGCCCACCGTGCCTTCTTTCCTCTGTCATGTGTTCTGGGGTCTGTTTTGCTGAGGAGGATGCTGAGGTCCGAGGAATTTGCCCAGGATCACGGAGCAAGGTCATGACTTTCAGCGTGGGGCTCCTATCGCTTCACCAACTCAGAATTTCAGACTGGAAGGAATCTTGCAAAACTGTTTACTCCAGAACTCCACCTAACATTGCATCCTCTTTAGCAGGGCTAGGATGGCCCGGTTTTGTACAGTCTGACAAATAAGAATGGGTTTTCCATTTTTCCATTTTTAAATCCATTAAAAATGGGTTTTCCATTTTCCATTTCCAAATTTTAAAATTTCCATTTTCCTTCCATTTTAAAGGGTGAAAACAAAGCAGAAAACAGATAAGAACATGCAGCAGACACTATATGCGGCCAGCAAAGCCTCAATACGACTATCAATGTTTGCTGACCTTTGCTATGCAGCATCCCTGTCAGTCCTGGCCTCAGCTTGCATACCCCCACAGATGGGAAGCTCTCCACCTCTCAAGACAGTTTCCCTAGTTTAGAGAGCTCTGCCTGGGTTTCCTTATTCTGGGAATAATCCTCCTTGTGGCTCCCACTCCTATTCCTTTGCTGCCTGTGAAGGCTGGAGAGGACCCAGAGTTTCCTTCTGACAAGCTTGGCAGAGATTTGCGGACAAGACCTGGGTCCCCTGGCCTTTTCCAGGCTGACCGGCTCAGACTCTCTTGCCACTCCGCATGGGTGGTGGTTTGCCTATAGAGGTTTGTGGGTGGAGGCCTGGCTACCCCATATTCTTGGCCCAGCCTGGATTGTCTGGGAACTCCAGGAGCAGTGTGGCCGGTGCAGGCCAATGAGTCCCTCTTCTACCCGCTAAACCTCTCTCCCTGTGACTCTCCTCTCCCCATTGCACCCGATCCCTGGCCATACTCACTTCTAGGGAGCAGCAGGACAATCAGGGCAGCCACGGTCAGGCTCCAGGTTCCTAGCCCTGCCATAGCACGCCAGTTTGGTGTTTACCTGGAGGCAGAGGGGAATGGGGAATGTCATGGGCTCTGGAGTCAGAGCTGAGCTTAACCCTTGCTCTGCCACAGTGTGGCTTTGGCCAGGGGATTTGACCTCTCTGAGCCTCAGTTTCTTTGTCCGCAAAATGGAATTAACAACAGCCTATATTGCGTAGGACTTTGGGAGGAAGACACAGAATGATGCAAGGGACATAGGCAATGACTTTGTAAGTGACAGCCACTGTTGTTATTATATTTGCCTTCCAGGAGAAAACAGGGACAGGAGCATCAAGGAACAGCATTCTTCCCCTTTCCCTTTTATCTTGGCTGGGCTTACCTGCAGGTAGTTTATTTTGGAAAGACCCTAGGAACAGAGGGAGGGGTTGGGGAGAATGAAACAGGTAAGGAAGGAAAGCTGACACAAGGGTCATGTCATGGAATTGGGGTCATCTCTACGGATGAGGGGGGCTCCATCCTGCTGGGACCTTCTAAGGAGCTGTGTAGGCTATGCCTCAGGACCATCCGCTCAAGGGACAATTTATCCCTTGAACAGGAGAGAGGATGGGAACATTTACCTACTGACTTCCATCCCCCATCGGTCAGAGGATGTTCTTTGGGCTATTAACTTTCTGGCCCATCCAGGTTACACACGCATGAGTACGAGGCAGGTTCTCTTGGAGGAGCCATGCCAGAAGGGTCAGAGATGCTCCCTGGCATGGATTAGCTGAGGCAAGAGGCTGTCAGTTTACACCTGTGGGAAGCTGGCCTCTGTGGACGGTACAAGGGGTCCAACACATGCCCAGTTCTGGGCACAGACCTCTGGAGGTTTTCTGGGGCCAGGTGTTCCAGAAACTATGCAAAAGGTATTCTACCACTGGGGTGGGCTTCTAGCCTGACCTCCATCCTGCTCCCCTAGGGGTCTTGGGACCAGGGACCTGGTTCCCCAGCACCAGGTGGCATTCTTGGCAGCATGTCAGTGGAAATCACTGACTAGCCTGCGTGTATATCCAGGAATGCATACGTGTAGGTAGTGTCCCAGCAGATCCCCTGTGCTCAGAGGTAGGAAATCTTCTCCCCCTTTTCTGCCCCTCTCAGACAGGGGTGTGAATATAAGCTGCCCAAGGCTGTTACTTCTCACAGGGGCCTTACCCCAACCCCGAGCTATTTATATACATTTCCATATCAGGATGCCAGAGGACTGCTAGCCCATAAGTCACTTTTTTTGCAAATCAGGAAAAAAAGTGCCACTACCTCTGGACAGATGTAGCCTCACACTAAGACCTGGCAACTGAAGAATAGGCTGGATTTCAGCTTCTACTTGGTCCTCAGCTGGGCAGCTTTGTGCAGTGAGAAACCCACACAACTGTTCAGAGCATCCCTGTCTACCAATCAGTGGTTGGCAACTTTCTTACCAGAGCATGGCAGTTTGATTATCCCCCATGCACACTTGTCGGGGGGAAGATTTAGCCTCGTAGGCCTAGTCTTTGGGATGCTGGTTTCCATTACCATGTGCTTTTGATCATGTCACAGCCCTGCTGCCCTTGCAGGGGTCAGCATCACGCCTAGTGTGTGCCCAGCAAGGTACTACTTCATCCCTCTCCTCTGGCTCCTGTCCAGAATGGGCAACCAAACCTCACTCTCAGAGGCCCCGGCCTCCTCCCCCTGGGCTGCTGAGTGTTGGCATGTTGGCTTTGGTCCCTGGTCCCCCGCAACAGCCCGGGGTGCCCTCCACCCCCATTGAGTGTGATCGGGGACCTGTTGGAGCATGGTCACACTCTCTGGGGGCCAGTACATGGAGACAGTGGAAGCCCAGCTCTGAGCCAGACCACTTGCTCTAAACCCCAGCTCTGGGACTTACCGGCTTCGTGACTGTGGAGAAGTTACTGCACCTTTCTGAACCTTGGTTTCCCCATCTGTGAATGAGGGGGAACATTAGCACGCACTTCTCAGGATTGTAGTGAGGAGGCACCGAGATGGGCTGGGAAGAAAGCGCACTGGGCAATTGTAAGTTGTTTTCACGCGACACAAAGTGGGACACCGTGTTGTGGAATCCAGCATGGGGCCTCTTCTCCCCCTCGCAGGCCCTGTGGTCACAGCCTCCTAGGACTGCCACCTGGCTTTCATCTGTGTCACGAAGCATGGCTTCAAAGCCCTGTTTCTGGGTCCCCTACTTGCAGCTCCCTGGGCCCTCAGTCTCCCCTTCGCTTCAGTCCTCTCTGATCAGTCCCAGCAGAACCCGCTGCCTCCTGGAGGCACTGCCATCACCCACCTCTTCCTGCCCTCCTCTCCTTCCCCTGCACTTAGCCTTCTCCCCTGCTCCCCCTGCCCCAGCTTGCATCCTCTCCACCCTGTTGTGTCTCCTCTCCTTCAGGGAGATTCTTCCAGTGGGAGGAGGGGGCTGGGACTGAACAGAGGGAGAGGCCCTCCCCGATGGGTTGCTGAGAAGGAGGGAGGCAGAGCTGCAGAAGGTGTAAGAATGTGAAACAGGCATGCAGGCAGTGAGGCCTGGGCAGGACAGGTGCAGAGAGACAGGGCCCTGGGAGGACAAGGACGCTGACCCAGAGACCCAGGTGCTCAAGGCCAAGAAGCAAGAGGTCCCCGAGCGAGTTTAAGATTTGAGAGAGGGAAATGTGAGAGACAGGGAAAGGCACAGAAAGACTTCAAGACACACAGACAGAGGGAAAGGCACAGAAAGACTTCAAGACACACGGACAGACAGAGACCCAGAGCCCAGATAGGCCAGGTAGGGGCTGGGGAGGCAAGACAGAAACAGGGGAGAGAGGGACAGGCTGAGACATAGGGTCTGAGACAGGAACGTGGGGAAGGATGGTGATCATGCCCTCCCCTGAGCCCAGCTCTGTGTTCCCAGACAGGTATTCAGAGGTTTGTGACTTCCCCAATGCACCCCCCCAAAAAAGTGGGGGCAGCCCTGGCAAAAGAGACTCCGTGTCCGGGGGCTCCTGGTTCCCAAGGACCAACGCTAAAGGCAGGAGCCCCGGTTCCAGGCCTGTGCATGGGCACTTGGCCGAGTTGGGGGGAGTGGACCCAGGACTCAAGGGTCCTTTCCCGCCCAAGGTACAACCCTCCCAGTGGATTCCCCTACTCACGCTGGAGCCTGCAGCGGGAGCCCGCCTGGCCTCCTTGGTCTCCGCGCTCCTCTGGAGGGCAAGTTCCTGAAAACAGCCGCAGTCCGGCTTCTCTCCCCAGCCCTGTCGTTAATGGCTCAGTCTCTGACAGGCCCAGGGGCTGCCGATTGCAACACCTGCCCAGCCTCCTTCCCTCCCTTGTGCTGTCAGACAGTCACTGAAGCACAGGGCAGCCCCTTCCTCCCAGGAAGGAGCCTGGGAGGGAAGCCGGTGAGGACAGGCAGCCTTCCTGCCTTGGGGGTCTCAAAGAGGCTGGGGAGTGTGGCAACCGCGTCCCTCTCCCCTGCCTCCGGATTTCCTGACCTCAAAGCTTTGGGGCTGGCCGGGGCCCAGGCGTCAAGCCGCCTGGGTGCCATTCCTTTGCCCCTATCCCTGAGGGAGCATCAGTGGGAGACAGACCTTGGCTGGAAGGCTCGCTCTGCTCTAAGCCTCTTTTTGGCTCTAGCCTTGGGGCCCTAATCCTCACAGTACTCAAGAGGCAGCCTCCAGGTTATGGGAAATTTTGGATCTGACTCCCTGTGGCCTTCTTGACTGCATATTTTTCACCATTGACTGGCAATGGGGAAATGGGGACTCTTGAAACAAGATGGGGGGAAGACCTGGGAAGGCTCAGGGTCTTCATATGTGACCTTGAAATTGGTTTACTCACGATGATTTTGCTACTCTGAAAAATTTTGGATTGGGTGTAGTAGGCTAAATTTTGTGTCTTTCATTGTTTGTATCCATGATTTCCCCGGAACTGGTTATAAAGACTTATTGAAAAATTTATTTATTTGATAGGGAGAGAGCGAGCGAGAGCAAGCACAGGCAGGGGGAGTGGCAGAGGCAGAGGGAGAAGCAGCCTCCCCTCTGAGCAGGGAACCCGACATAGGGCTCGATCCCAGGACTCCTGGATCAGGACCTGAGCCGAAGGCAGGTGCTTAACCAATTGAACCACCCAGGTGTCCTTCAGAACTGCTTATAAATAATTTTCTGTGCATTTTTCTGAAGAGGGTTCAGACTGTTCATAGTTCATTGGATTTATGACCCAGTAAGGTTAGGTACCAACTGACCAGCAGAGCGTCCATAACGTATGATCCTTTTTGGAAAAAGGGCTTCTGAGTCTGATGTGGGGGCAGACGTGGGCTGCAGGGGAGGGTCCAAAAGGAAATACCCACCTGTCTGTGGCAACCTCCCCAAGATGTCCTATAGGGCCCCGCCTGCTCAGCAAATCCTGTCAACTCTTCTTTCAAAATATAAGCAGAATTTTGGGGAGACAGGTGTTCCTGTTACAGTTCAACTTGCCTCTATGTTTCAATATTTTCATGATACAAAGTTGGAAAATATAACTACCACTTAAACCAATACTAGTCAGGATTAAACGACCCTAACCTCTTATTTAGATTGTTGCAATAGTCTCCTACTTCTATTCATCCTGTCCCCCACCAATTTGTCTATTGTACCTTCAGCAGCCGGTATGATACTGACCCAAAAAAGGTCAGTTCCTGTCAAGTCACTTCATGTCATCCTCTGTCCCAAGCCCCCAGTGGTTCTCATCTCACTCAGAGTCAAGGTCAAGGTCCTTTTGATGATCTACAAGGTCCCACTCAACATGGGGGGCACTCTCCTATTCTTCTCTCCCTTGATGCTCTGCTCCAGCTATGCTGTTTTTCTTGTTGTTTCTTAAATTTGCTAAGGCTCCCTCCTGCCTCAGGGCCTTTGCACTTGCTGTTTCTCTTGCCTGGATCCCCCCCCCCACCCCAAATAATGACATGGGTCCACTCTCTCTCCTTCTTCAGGTCTTTGCTCAAATATCAACTTCTCATTGAGTCTTTCTTTGATTACCCTTTAAAAAAATTGCACCCTCTACTCTGTAGCCCTCTTTTTTCCCATATCCCTTTTCACCCTCTGTCATTGGCTTTCCTCACCCCCCCACCTCCCACTAGAATGGAAATTCCACAAGGGCAAGGGTTTTAGTCTGTTTTGGTCAAAACTTTCTCTCCACTGCCCACAACACTGCCTGCCACCTAGTGAGTCCTCAGAGCACACTGGATGAATGAGTGAAGTGGAGAATGAATGACTGAATGGATGAATCTTCTCTGCACCTCGCCAGACCTGTCCTCCGTTCTCGTGGGCCTCATCTTGGTAAAGTGTATCACCATCCCCACTTCTTCAAGTCACCCAACGTAGGGACCCAGGAGTCCCTCCTCACACCTCCTTCTCCACACTCCCATCTCCAGCCAGTCCCTAATGAAGGAGGATGGGCCTTTGGTTCATCATCCAGAAAAACATGTCCCCAGAGCAGATGCAGGGATATAATGGTGACCCAAAGCAGTGTTCGTTCCTGCCTTTGTGGAACTCTTTGTCTTGTCCACAATTCTGAAATTCATCTCTCCCCGCCTTTGTCGGATCTCCCCAACCCTCACTGGGGCTCCCATGGGCTCCCTGCTCTGGGTTCTCTCCCTCCGCCCTCTGTCAGCTTCTGGCAGCGTGAGCTTTCCTACATGCAGGGATGGCTGACCATGTTGGTCCCCATTCTTCAGGGGCCCTATGGCACATCCTAAGTCCTTCACAGGACAATCAAGGTACCCTGCCAGCTGGCCCCACCTCCCTCTCCTGCCTTACCTGCCTCTGCTTCCCCAGACACACTTCTTTGGGTTGTTGTCCAGCAGTGTTGGCTTACGTCTCCCTGCCTGCCTCAGGCTCTGAACACCTCCGCGTGTTTGCTCTTGCTGACCCCCTGTCACCGCCGGCTGGCTGAGTCCTGCCCCTGACCCCGCCCAGACTTGAGTCTGTGCTGAGCATCTCTCTGGGCTGGTGCCCTCCTTCCTCGGTGACCCTGTATAACCACAGTGGGTTCTTGGCTGTCTCCCTCCTCCATTAGGCTGTGAACTCCTTGAGGGCAGAAACCATATTCTCGTTTCTGCCTCCAGCCTCCGCCTAGAGGATCTCCTGGGCTGCAGAATTTCCCTCTCCAAGCCTCTGTCTGTTGCCTTACCTGCCACAGGGAAAACAATTCCTCCCAGGGGTTTTGTGACGATTAAATGAACTATGGGAGGTATAAAACCCAGCGTGGTAGGTGTTCAGTACAATTCCTTTCCTTTCCCCCCACTGCATAGTTCAGTATTTCAGATCAAGATTTTACTGACCTCATCTGTGTTCTGTTCTCCACTGAAGGCCTGCACCAGGAAACAGAACTGTGGCAGCTGAAATGAAAGTTAGGTTTAAGGAAGAACTTTACTTAGGGGAGAGACATTAGAGACTTCGTATTAGCGTTGAGAGGTGAAGAGCGGGGCTGAAGCGTTGGACTGCTTGGATTTGCCACTTACTAGCTGTGTGATGCTGGGCAAGTTGTTTAACCTCTCTGAGCCTCGGTTTCGTCATCTTTAAAATGGGGATGTTAGTATTTGCTTTGTGGGGTTTTTGAGAGAAATTGGTGAAATAATGCACGCGAGGCATGTGCAACAGAGCCAGGTATACAGTAAGTGCTCAATAAATGTTTACTCCCCTGCACTGAAAAGCACGAGACAGATGTGGTCATCCCCTCCATCACACCCAGTGTCTGCTTTGTGGATACTTCCTCCTCCAGCTCTCTTGCCCCGGCCCCTTCCTCCATCAGACAGAGTGACCTCCGGGGTCTGGAAAGCCCAGTCAGGAAGCCCAGGGGAGGAACCCCGCTCTTGGCAGCCCTACGGCGGGTTGGATCGTTTCGGTTTCTGTCATTGCCTGCGGTGCGTAGGGCTCCTGAGTGGGTCAAGGAGCTGCCTGTCCCCAAGGGGCGGGAATGGGTGGGCCAGCCAGGGTACGTGTCCGGAAGTGGAGGCTGTGCTCTTCTGCCCCGGGCTGGTTTGGCTGGAATATAGCAGTCGGCCGAGATTGTGCAAACAGGTCATTGTGCAAACACGTCCCTGTGTGTGACCTCGATTGTGCAAAAAGGTGTTTACTGGAGGCTGCCTGCCTTGGACTGCCTGCTTACAAAAAGTGCCTGAGCTGTTGACTCAGAAAGAAATCAGAATCTGGACACTCATTCTTCCTTGAACACACCCTGAACTTTGTGTCTGCCGGTCTTTGCTGGGGCTGGTCTCTCTGCTCAAGGGCCCGCTTCTGCCTCTCTCCACTTGCTGAAATTGTACCCATTCTTCATGGCTCAGAGAAAATACCACGAAGTCTTTCTCCATAAACTTTTTCCCAACTTGCCTCCTCAAGGGACACAATACACCTCTTAATCAATGGTCCTGTTTTACCTTGTGGCCCTTTCTAGACCTTGAGCTCCCTGGGGATGAGGACCTTTCCTTGTTCACTTCAGACAGGTTAGGAAACTGAGGCCCAGAGAGGGAGAGTGACCTGTCCCATGTCACACGGCCAGTTCGCAGCTGAGCTGGGCTCTAAGTTTCATCTCCGCACTTTCTGTCATACTCACCATTCCCTCTTTTGAGCCCCACTCACTTCTGACTGTGGCTCTGTGCTCCAGCCCCTGAACGGAGCTGGGACTCTAGCTGGAACTGGAGGGTGGGTGGGATGATGCAGAGGAGGAAGGGGTACTCTGGGCAGATAAACAGCAAGAGCAAAGGCATCGAGGCCGGGAACAGGAAGAAGGTGTAGAGAGACCATAGTAGGAAGAGGCAGCACTGGCCCTGGGAAGTTGGCGGGGCAGGCTTGTGTTCTAGACCCAGAGGTGGCACTGACTCTGTATGGCCCTGGGTAACACCTCACAGGCCTGCCTCTCAGATCCCCATCTGCCCTGGGATGCTCTAGAGATAGCCCAGACTAAACGTGCCCCCCACCGAACTCCTCCATGGCCCACCTTCTCCCTGCCCCGCTCCCTACAACCTGCTGGAAACCTGCACTCAGCCTGGACTCCTTGTTGTCCCTTTGGCCGCACGTCCAGCCTGCCAGCCTTTTGCATGGGTCCTTCTCTCCCAGCGCCCTGCCACTGGCTGGGCTGCCAGCCTCATTCTCCAGGATAACGGCGGCAGCCTCCGCCTGCTCTCCCATCTTTACTCCCGCGATGCCGCCCTTGCTGTACTCGGCTGGACAGCTTCTTCCGAAACACAGCCCCAGCTGACCATTGTGCCAGCAAAAAACCTTCCATTGGTGCCTTGTTGCCCATGGAATAAAGTCCCAAGTCTTTCTTCTGGCCTTTAAGGCCCTTCAAAACCAGCCCCTAACCCTCCCTGATGCTGGGACCTCATCTCTTCACGCTCCTG